GTGTGGTACTCGCGTCGTGTGGTCTAGAAAATCACTCAGATTTGAAGGTCCGGCACCAGTAGAGAGAGACAGGCTGCTTCGGCCGATGTGTTGTTTCTGTCGCACAGCGGAGCTCGAGGCAGGTAGTCGGGGTCCGGGGTGACGCGCCGGGCGGACAATAGGGGAGCCGTCGAGGAGCCGTCTGCAAGGCAGGCGGCACCGGGCCCCGACCAGTTTTGGCCAATTTTTATCGCGATTTTGGTAGAAATTATCGTAGAACAAAAATTCAAACACCATTAGACCCAGCTTTCAACGACGAATCCATTGCCGCATGTTCCAAAAACGCGAAAAGGCTCGTTTGAAAATTTGTATTTTGGGCCTGGGGGTAATAAATCAGCCTGTCATCATCGTCGACTCGGCGCAGCCCATTGTGAAGCAGGCCTCTCCACACAAAAGGGAGGCGATCCTTTCGCTACCTGAAAGCTAAAATTTTTCTAACGCGTCATTTGACACTCATGGGATGTTCACCATTGTACTCGGGATGAAATTTTTGATCTTTCCATCTAAAAATTAAGTTTCTGCGGCCACTTTTAACAGAGCAACGAAAACAACTTTTTTAGCTATATAGGAATAATCAGTACTTCGCAAAAATATTTTGTCAAAATTTGGTCGAAACTTTTAATTTTGACCTGAAACTTGGACTTAGGAGTTGAAGACCGGCCCCGAGCTCACGAAAAGCTGGCGATCTGCTCCGTGCGGCCCAGGCCGAGCTCCGTGCCGGGATGTCATTCACCCGCATTACGGCAGGCCGGCCATAAACAGCCAGCCGAGGGTGCATTGTCTGCGAACCAGGTCTACGGGGCATCGGGGCCCCGGCCTCAGACGATTGCGGACGCACCCGAAAACGCTCTCGGATGCTACCATTCTCAGAGTAGCCACCCGCTCCTACGCCCTTAATATCCTAACGTGCCATTGTTTTGTGTTAAACATGTTCACAATGACGGTGGGACACTCACATGTCCGATACCACTTGTGTTGGGTATCATTTTCGTTGTTTCAACGCGAGGATGCACAATTTGGTGGCTAATCACATAAATACTCTATACCCGTAAAAGTTGTGTTCGGTACTAGGCCAAGGCGCCTTGCGGCACGCGGCGTGTCAGCCACATCTCCAAGCGGGGCCGGCCGGCCGGCGCGCCACCCGAACCCGACCTCAAGATAGATAAGCAAGAGTGGCGCACACTGCCGACTGCCGACGCGCCGCTTCTCGCGAGGGGCAGGGGTTTGGGGGGGGGGGCTGCACTATGCGTTCTACGCACTCAAAGCTCAAGTGCGCGTGTGTGTAGACTGATGCGGGGTGTGGCGGGGCGCGGCGGGACGTGGCGTCTCGGCAAGGGAATGGGCGAGGGGGGCAGCTACGCGATGCGTGCTAGCAGCGTCTCATGACGACGCGCAACGCGAGGGACGCACTTCTTGAGTACTAGAGAGGTGGGTGTCGAGGTTATACGCCGCGCGCGCAACCCGAGCCCCCGCAGCCGCCCCGATTCATGGTGCGGGCGCGCGGCGCGGCGCGGCGCGGCGCGACGGCGCGGCGCGGCACGCTGAGGGCCCTCCGCTCATAATCTTCTAGGCAGGCCAGCCAGCCGCTGCCTTGCCAGCGAGGCGCTCGGCCTCTTCTAGGCTTGCTAGTCAGGCAACGAGGCAACTGCTGCCTGGCTAGCCGGAAACTCGGCACTCTCTGCACGAGAGTACAAGCACGCTGATACGTGAACGTATCATCTGCTAAAAAAGCAGTTTCAGAACTAAATGTTTCCACAAACACGCCAGATCGATGGAGCACTAACTGAACAACCGAGCCACCAAGAGGCCGCGCGTCGGCCAGATCCGAGACAGCCGGCGGGCGGCGCCACCGAGAGTGCGGCCAAACGGCGAAAAGTGCGACATGGCCCTTTCTGCCGTTTTTTCGATTTATAAGGGCAAAGGATTATGGTTTATGGTGGAAAAAGTGGTTTCCAATCAAAACCTGGTCATGTAGGGGTCAAAAACTGTAAAAAACGCAAAAAATGCCCCAAAACGCCCCAAATTCCACCATTTTTTACTCGTTTTTTGGCTCTTACAACTTCAATTTTGAGAATCCGAAACTTTTCTTGGCAGATTCTGAAAGCTAAGAATGAGAGCTACAAGTTCGTGTCAGGGGTCGACACTGTAGCGAGATCGGCTATTCGAGATATTTGGCCTCAAAGATTTTTACATTTCATCATTTCCACTAAAAATGTCATTTTTTACTCGTTTTTTGGCTTTTTCAAGAGCAATTTTGAGAATCCGAAACTTTTTTTGACATATTCTAAAAGCTGAGAATGGGAGCTACAAATTTGCTTAAGGGGCCCACACTGTAGCAAGATCGGCTGTTGGAGATATTTGGCCTCAAAGATTTTTATAATTTATCATTTCCAGTAAAATGTCAGTTTTCCTGCGTGTTGATGCGAGTTTTCTTGGACCTTGGTTCCGACCATAATTCGTTCAAATCAGGGTGACAAGACAAAACCAACGGTGACAGTTTCAAGCGAATCGGAGAAGTTTGGACCCGAGTTCAAATCCCAGTGAGGTATATTTTGAACATTCTTTTTTTTTGGGTTTTTGCATTGTTTCTGATGTTTTTGAGGATGCTGATGACGAAATAACATCTATTTGACCCCAGACTCAGGTTCAAATCCCGTCAGGGTTAAACATAGGCGATATTTGCACATATCTTAATGCATGGGACGGGCCAAAGTTAGCGAGTAAAAAGTGGTTGGAATACGCGGTGAACAAATTTGGAAAAAATACTACAAATGTAAGAAATTGGTACTCTGTACTATCTGGCGGTCAAGGCCAGTGCTGCAGATAACTTGTGGCACTTTAGGCACCTTGGCTGTTTTGTCACCACGCGTGCTCAAAGTCTAAAGGTGGCCGTCCGGTCTCGCGACGTCGACGGGCACCTCACAGGGTCCCCGATGACGATGCGAGCATTTTGGATAATGGTTCCGACCATTCGTTGGAAAGGTCTCATCATGACCTACTCGAATTAGAAATAAAAAAATTCTGGGTGGACCCCCTTTTTTCAAGATCCAGTTGGTCAACCGGATCTTGAAAAAGGGGGTCGACCAAAAATTTTTTTTTTTATTCCTGAATCGAGTAGGTCATGATGAGACTTTTTCAACGAATGGTCAGAACCAAGGTCCAAAAAACTCGCATCAACACGCAGAAGGGGCGCGCAAAACTGACAATTTAGTGGAAATGATGAATAATAAAAATCTTTGAGGCCAAATATCTCGAACAGCCGATCTTGCTACAGTGTGGGCCCCTTAACCAAAATTGTAGCTCCCTTTCTCAGCTTTCAGAATATGTCAAGAAAAGTTTCGGATTCTCAAAATTGCACTTCAAAAAGCCAAAAAACGAGTAAAAAATGGCATTTTTAGTGGAAATGATGAAATGTAAAAATCTTTGAGGCCAAATATCTCGAATAGCCGATCTCGCTACAGTGTCGACCCCTGACACGAACTTGTAGCTCTCATTCTTAGCTTTCAGAATCTGCCAAGAAAAGTTTCGGATTCTCAAAATTGTAGTTGTAAGAGCCAAAAAACGAGTAAAAAATGGTGGAATTTGGGGCGTTTTGGGGCATTTTTTGCGTTTTTTACAGTTTTTGACCCCTACATGACCAGGTTTTGATTGGAAACCACTTTTTCCACCATAAACCATAATCCCTTGCCCTTATAAATCGAAAAAACGGCAGAAAGGGCCATGTCGCACTTTTCGCCGTTTGGCCGCACTGTGGCGGAGGGGGCGACGACTCAAATTTTTCGCCTTCTGGATCCCGTACTGTCACACGCACGGTACGCGACATCGGCCAAGCGCTGCATTGGTGTGGCGCCAGGGCAGGTCAACCCAAGGCAGGGTGCGCAGCACTCGCGAGGCACCAGGTCGCAAGGCCTCTAACGCAACGAAACCCCGGATCCCGCTCCGCTACGCCCCGCGGGTACTGAGAAGGATTATTTAAGAAAAGCAGGGCCTTACATCGACCCCCTTGGAATGTCGCGATTTTTTGTCCACATTTTGTACACCTAAAAAGAGGAAGATTGCCAAAATTTCAGACCCCTAGGTCCATTGTTAAAGTTTTGGTGGGCATTTTAAGGTTTTTTCAGTGTTTTTGTAGTGAATTTGGGTATTTCCTGCTACGCAGCGACTTTTCGGTCTAGAGTCATGAAATTTGGTATTCCGGCCTAAAATTGAACGGGAAAAACGACTAGCACAACAGATTTGAGCTAAAACAGAAAAAAAATTAAGTTAAAAAAAAATTTAAAAAAAATTTACCTAAAGAGACCCAAATTGTGGGTATTTAAGGGTTTTTTAAGCCGATTGGCATGAAATTTTGCAGACTTATGCAGAAAAGTGCGCTGAATCCAAATATAACTGTCCCAGCTCTGTGCGACCAACAGTTCAGAAGATATGCGGTTTTGAAGATAGATATGGGCTCATCCCTTAGGAAAAAGTACCTTAGACTTTCTAAAGTGACTGTAAACATTCAACTGTAAGATTCACTTTAAAGATTTTCTAAAGTTTTTTGGCTTTAAGTACACTAGGGGACTGTAGGTCAAGACTTTAGGTTCCGTACTGTAGGAGTGTGACTGTAGAATGGGATATGTAGGCACGAACCCTAGAAATGTAAAGTTTTTCTCTACTGTCTTCTTTTACAGTTACCATAACTGTAGGGCAAGAAATTCAGGCCTGGGGATTTCTCGCTCTGTTGTTGAGAAAACAGTAGAAAAACTGTGGTACAGTAAAACGGCTTAGTGTGACCCCTCCTAGCAAGGCATGTGACCCCTCTTAGCAAGGTAAAAGAGGCCTAAAAAGTAGTGCCGAACAATGGGCTCCTCCAAAAGAGACAGTGCAACAGTATAAAATTAAAATGGGAAAACTCAGAATAAGAAAATGCGCCAGAATCAGTTTATCAAAATTCATTATTTAGGAAAGTTAGTAAAATATCATAAGTTTTGTGGCTTGAGCGGTTTTGTAACAGGCGTCACTTTAGATTGGATTTCCAAACATTGCGGCTTCTTGAGGTAGTAACGAAGACGGTGCCGTATCCCTGCCTTCACCTCAGCTTCCACTTCATCCCTTGTGAAGGACTTTTCCCCGAACGCAAATAAATAATCTGAAAAAAATTATTTATAAATGTCCTACATAGTGATATAGGAATTCAGATAAGTTCATACTGTGAAAAGCTTACCTATTATTCCATCAATGGGCTCTGGTTCTAGAGCTTTTTTGGGAATGTATTGTTTATGTCGGTTAGAGGGTTTGCCCGTGAGGGTGCAAAGTGCCATCTCCTCATCAGAGTATAATGCCTCAAAGAGGTCACCCCCAATTGTGCTGATCCGTGTATTATGTCGAAACTTTTGAACCTCTGAAGCGGGCAGGGACCTGGATCCAAAGTTGATTGTTTTCTAAAAATGGATAAAAAATCATTAATCATTTGTAACAACAATTTGATTAAGAACAACACAAAGCGGGTTCGCTCAGTTCCACCCTGACCCCCTTGCCTCCCCAAAACTGACCAAAATTATTTTTTCATTGATTGGGACCAAGATCAGTTAGAAATTGTCTTTGAGCCAAACCGGATGGGATCAGGGTTAAACCAGGCTGGATTTGCTAACCATACACGAAACTTACCTTAGGATCTTCATAAATCGGCCCACACCTAGTAAATGACCGGCCAGACTTCATCTTCTGCACCCCACACTTCTTCTTCATTGGTACTTTAATATCCTTCGCTAAATCCTTCAAGACAGACAATAAAATACAATATTAGACTGATTCATACATGAGCAGTATTTTTAACTTTGGACAATACAATAGGAATTTCTGTACCCGAATCTTTTCTTCTGCATTCTTTAGATGAACCTCTTCTTTTATTTGACATTCCTGCAATGAAAAAAAATTATTTTGGTACTTGCGCATACCAGGGCAGTCAAAAGAATTTCATGGCGACTTACCGTTGAAACTTGTGCTTGCTGGCCTGTTTGTCTAGCAATTACACGAGAAGTCTCTTGAGGTACCTGGAAGAGGAAATTAGGATTATAATTGTCATAGAAAAGGAAACTTCATTGGTGAACAAATTACCTCTTCAGGCAATGGATCCTTTGTGATGGTCGATTCATTTTCATTTTCTTTTTCCAAGGACAAGTCAATCATATGATCGGCTACCTGCAACAGCAAAGCTCTTCAATGCCATGGGCTAAAACGGATAGCTTCATTTAATATTGCCAGGGCAACAGAACTAACCACGTCGTGGTGCTTCTTTGGATCAGGGGTCACAGTTGTCACCTTTTCAGAGACCTGCAAGAAAAAATGTGATAATAAGTGTCACATGAAAGGAATTTGAATAGAAACTTTCTTTAGAAACGAGGCAACTGAACACTCAGTGGTCATTTTCTGCAGGCTTCAGAGAATGCCTGGAGGTTCCGTCTGTCTGAACCCCTTCTCTGCATTCAATAACTTAAATAATGAGTTTTTTTATTAAGGATATTGGAATCTTAACGCTGTTTATGTGTGCTACCTAGAAGTTGCACTATTGGACTGAATATAATCAAAAGGCTATGGTGGGGGTAGGAAACGAATGGCATCACCTCTTCTGTTAATAGAAGGTAACGAATGACTATTATACTATGACAAATAATTTTTCCTGAAGGGCTTTGTTATGAATTTTCCCTCTACAAAAGAAGTTGTCTTACTTTTGAGTCCACGCCCTTGGTAGTCACATTGCAGGCCTTGATCAAAAGTGAATCTATTTCTTTCTTCAAACCACTGAACTTGTCCACAGCAATTGCAGTCTCTGGAAATATTCATTAAAACAGGCCATTATTTTTCGTTGTGATTTCAAATTAATCTCAATGTTTCATTCTTACCCTACCCTTTATCGATAGCTCCAGCAATTCCTTCTCTTTCAGGCGTCTGTTGAGCCTTTTGATTTCTGCCTTTTGCATACATATGCGGTCAAACAAACTTTCTCTGCTCGACTTAACAGTTAATAGTTCATCATCTTCACTCTCAGAATCGTAACCATTACAAGGTAGGTTTACGCCAGACCGCGTCTTGTCGTAACAGGCTTCGCGATGTCTCGCGGCCTGTTCCTCCAATCCGCGCCGGGCGTACCTACCTTGGCCTGCGGCGCTAGGCTGCCTTCGGCAGACAATGCTTGTCCATCGTCAATTACTTCTGAACTGTTGCTTGCTGGGCGGCTTCGCCCCCCAGACCCCCCCTTCATTCTAGATAGAGGTGCTTTATCTACAAATTACACGATCTTGACCCTTGTAACTTTTCAACTTGTGGAGGCTGGGGGGCTCCGCCCCCCAGACCCCCCTTCAATCCAGACAGGGGAGGTCTACCGACAGAATACTCAATTTTTTCGCCGTTTTTAAGGTGTTTTTCGGCTATAAAAGCTGAACCAATTGAGCTAGGATGGTGAAATTTCGCGTGTGCCGAGCTAAGAACATACCTAATAACCCTGCAAAATCTCAGCCAGATCGGCCGAGCCGTTCAGGAGGAGTAGTGTACACACACACAGACAGACAGACAGACAGACAGACAAAACTTTTCAACCGCACTGGAGTAACAGGCTTCGCTATCGCTCAGCCAAAAATCCTTGAACGACAAGTTTTCATTAAAAGTAAGTCACTTATTGCAAATGTATTTCTAGTCAGGATTTCACTTGACGCTAAAGGTGTTGTATTATTTTCTACCTGCAGTGGCACGAGCAAAGCGTCTGGCCCAATTGCAGATGCCATAGAACAACTTTTTACTGTAGGATATGTGGAAAGTTGTTTCCGAGTCTCCAGCAACATCTTTCTAGACCAAGTGTTTGGCTCTGATTGCTGTCTGTAACAACGGTGTGATACAGTGTGGCAGTAAATAACATTTCCCAATGGGCAAATACAATTTTTTGTCTTTTCACCACAACACTTATGATAGAACAGCAAACGTAATATTATTACAGTAGAAAAATGAATCAAACAGTTTAAAAATTTATCTGGGTGCTGATGAAAATACTGAAAATGGTCCTAGCCCATTGGGAACGTTGTTTTGAACGAGACTGCATCAAACCTTAGTGACAGACAGCACTCATAGCCAAACACTGTGTCCAGCAAGATTTCACTCAAGACACTTAAATCGACCAAGGGAGAGCGGGGCACCTAGTCTCATATTAATCTTTTCCTAAAAAGAATAACAAGGTAGGTTTACGCCAGACCGCGTCTTGTCGTAACAGGCTTCGCGATGTCTCGCTGCCTGTTCCTCCAATCCGCGCCTGGCGTACCTACCTTGGCCTGCGGCGCTAGGCTGCCTTCGGCAGACAACGCTTGTCCATCATCAGTTATTTCTGAACTGTTGCATGCTGGGGGGCTCCGCCCCCCAGACCCCCCTTCATTCTAGATAGAGGTGCTTCATCTACAAATTACTCGATCTTGACCCTTGTAACTTTTTAACTTGTCGAGGCTGGGGGGCTCCGCCCCCCAGACCCCCCTTTCATCCAGACAGGAGAGGTCTACCGACAGAAAACTCGATTTGTCGCCGTTTTTTATGTGTTTTTCGGCTATGAAAACTGAACCATTAAAGCTAGGATGGTGAAATTTCGCGTGTGCCGAGCCAAGAACATACCTAATAAGCCTAGAAAATCTCAGCCAGATCGGCCGAGCCGTTCAGGAGGAGTAGTGTACACACACACACACACACAGACACACACACAGACAGACAGACAAAACTTTTCAACCCCACCTGAGTAACGGGCTTCGCTATCGCTCAGCCAATAAACAGTGCAATTTGGAAGGAAGTAGGAAACGTCCAGACAGTCTCTACGATGCCCTGGACAAATCTACGAACTTACATTACACTTTGTTGTGAAATCAGCTTTCCTTCTCAGCTCAGCACTTTTTACTGCAATTGGGTGCTGTGGTGTACTGTCTTCATCAGAAGAATCATCCTGCAAAGGTAAAAAGAAATGCCACTCATACGATAAAGTTACCATCCAAGTTTTAAAAGGACAGTATGATACGAGCCAAATTAAATGTTCCAGAAAAACATACCAAATCCACTTTATCCTTCGCATATTTCCTGACCTTGTCAGTAATAGAGCTCCCTCCAACTACTGACAGTTTTTTTTTCTCCATGCGGCTTCCCAGAATTCTTCGAATTATTTCCAGTTTTCTATAATATTGAACAGCAAAAGTTGAAGCAAAATACAAAAATTAAACTCACCACACTAAAAGAAATCAGGCACAAAGCCATAGTAACTGCAATATGAACTTACGGATTTCTTTGTTAAAGGCTCTCCAGAGGATTCACTCTTGCTCCCCCTTTGCCTTCGCTTTCCATCGCAGCTCCCCGTCTCCATGAAGGTCTTCTCCTTGGTTCTTATTTCAGTCCAATCTAAAATAGGAACAAAATAGAAATAATGAAATACAAAAACGCATGAGGTGCGCTCATTTGAGAAGGGCAAATTTCGTTCGAACACGTGGAGGTAAACAAACATAACCTTACCTGAACTAACAGCCAAAATAATGGCAATGCATTCAGTCCACTTTATGCTGGCGGCATGTTTGCCTTTAGCAAAGTTTTCCCTAGGAGCTACGTTGCATGATGGGTATTTAGTTCTAATTTCTTTCTTATTTTTAATGCAATCCTCCACATCAGAAATAGCATCAAGAGCCCATTCCGAAAACGTTACATTTACGGGTCGTGACGCCTCATTTTCCTTATCAGTCTTTTCCTCGTAGGGAAATTCACACAAAAAATAGGACAGAGACATAAGTGAGCGTTTAAAATCCACAGAATACGAGCAAGAAATGTTTAGTGAAATGACTACTTCGCTTAGACTACCTGCGCGGAGAGTGGAGTATGGAGTGATGGCCCTGTGGCCTGCCTGACCAGTCCACTCGCCGAGCCGAGCGTCGAGCGTCGTGCTGCCCGGGCTGCGTCTGAAAAGACCACCAGTGTACACTGTCTGGCCTTGTCTCGTCTCCATCACAACTCGCCTTTGCCCGAGACAGTCCGCAGTCCAGGAAGCAGTTTTCGGATGCTACCTGAAGGCTGCGGCTGCGCCCGGGTCGTTGAACGTGCATTACAGGTTAAAGACCTCGTCAGCAGAAACGAAAGCAAACGCAGAAGAAGTTTATTGTGTGTCACCATCATCTACGAACAACTGCCAACAAGGATCTAAGTACACTTGGACAGTATTGGAATGTTGTATACATTATTCACGGATGAATTCCCGGCCTTACTTAGTGATTGTTCAGGTTTTGGTGTTTAGAGTCAGTAGAGAGCATTGTCACAGAAGATAGGTTAAACTGTTTGCAAAATTTATGTTTTTTACATTTAAGAAATCCCTCTATTTTGCAAACTGTTCAGAATAAGATAATCTCAATTTTAAAAAAAAGTATTTTCAGTCAGTATTAAAAATATACAGTAGGCCTTAGTTTTTTTTTAACCGTAATTTTTCAAACAACACACTGACAAACACTCGTGTTGCAGGTACTTGAAACATGCCACCTGAAAGAAGACGAGGACCTTACAAGAGGTACCTAAAAAATCCTGACTTGACTGTGCCTCAACGAACCTTGTGGTGGAGGAGACATTTTCAAGCTGCAGTTCGGGATGATCAACTTGACGTCAACGATGTGAGTACAATTTACTCCCATTTTGATGGGTTATCAGGTCTAAGGCTCATCAATTTTGAGGAGAGTTAAGAGGTAGAAAACCTTATTTCTTTACTGTTAGTTTCTCTTTCTTGATTCAGCTTTAAATGAAGCAGCCGTGGGCAGAAAATCAATTTGTGAGCTCTTATATACACTTTTGACGCAGGAGTTCGAGAACCAGGTCCATGACCTAGATGAGCACGAGCACCAGGAACAAGGAAATGGAACTGATGGACCGGATGATGATTCTTCTTCAGCCAGTAGCATGAGTGTTAGTCTTTCACTATTCAGGTGGCTTCTGTCATGAACTCATCAAACTCATGGCTCATCGTGCTGTCACTGCTCATGAAAGTGCGGACCCAGTTCACGCAAGGGAGTGTGAGCCACAATTGAAATCTTCATTAAAATAATATTTTAAATGTATAATATTTTAAAAACCGTGTTTATAATTGCCATGCTGTGCTTTCAAAGCTAACTAATAAAAACTAGCCAAGTTACCTGATGTTGATTTTTTCACTTCATATACTGTGGGAAAAAACTACAGAAAGTGCTGTTAATTTTTTAACAGCTTTCCTCCGTTCTTGACAACAGGGATGATACCCAAACCGAAACGATACCACGGCCGTTACGACAACAGATTGCACTTATGCCTATAACTCGAAAAGTGTAGCACCTGGAACCAAGGGAACAGCTTTTCCTTGGTGACCAAAGTGTACCGGAGTTTTGTTTCCATATGGGCCAAGGCCAAATTCCGCCTCCCTGAGTTTTGTTCATTTAGGCCCCAAAAAGAACAAAACTCAGGGAAGCGTTATTTGGCCTTGGCCCATATGGAAACAAAACTCCGGTACACTTTGGTCACCAAGGAAAAGCTGTTCCCTTGGTTCCAGGTGCTGCGCTTTTCGAGTTATAGTCATAAGTGCAAACTGTTGTCGTAACGGCCCTGGTATCGTTTCGGTTTGGGTATCATCCCTGCTTGACAATAGAATTCCCACCTTGATTTTCTGATGGTGCTTTCAGAGCTTATCAGACTCATTTCTTACTCCATTTCCACTCACTTGTTGGGACATTTAGTTCGTTATGGTAACAAAAATTACTCATTTTTGAACTTCTATTAGGAAAGTTTTCTCAGGGAAGGGCAAGAGCGGTATTGTATTTATTAGGTGCTTTGAGCAGAGCAAGACTAAGAGAAACAAACAAACAGAAGTATATTCCTTAGAGTCACATAGTACTGGGTACAGCTGACAACTACAAACTCCAAATTTGGCTTGTTTGAACGAGTCTGTAGTTGTCAGCTGTACTTAATTGGCTGAGCGATAGCGAAGCCCGTTACTCAGGTGGGGTTGAAAAGTTTTGTCTGTCTGTCTGTCTGTCTGTCTGTGTGTCTGTCTGTCAGCACTACTCCTCCTGAACGGCTCGGCCGATCTGGCTGAGATTTTGCACACTCTTTGGGTATGTACTTGGCTCGGCACACGCGAAATTTCACTATCCTAGCTTAACTGGTTCAGTTTTAACAGCCGAAAAACACCTAGAAAACGGCGAAAAATCGAGTTTTCTGCAGGCAAATGCCTTTTGCCTTGCAGAAAGGGGGGAGGGGGGGCAGAGCCCTCCTGGCCCCGGCAAGTTGAAAAGTAACAAGGGTCAAGATCGTGTTATCTGTAGATGAAGCAACTCTATCTGGAATAAAGGGGGGTCTGGGGGGCGGAGCCCCCCAGCATGCAACAATTTAGATGTAACCGACGATGGGCAAGCCATGGCCTGCTGGCCTGCCGAAGGCAGGCTAGCGCCGCAGGCCAAGGTAGGTACGCCAGGTGCGGATTGGAGGAACAGGCAGCGGGACATCGCGAAGCCTGTTACGACAAGACGCGGTCTGGCGTAAACCTACCTTGTACTAATCAACTTTGAGTAATACTCTTCTGTTTGTTTGTTTCTCTTAGTCAAGCTCTGCTCAAAGCATCTAATAGATACAACACAGCTCTTGCCTTGCCCTTAGAAAACTTTCATTTTAAAAATGTTCAAAAACAGATTAGTTTCTGTTACAATAACACATTTGAAGCAATTGAATGCATGATTGAACACAAATTTTATTGGAAAAGCTTTGTTTCATATCAGATCAGCTCCCTTTAATGTTTTATAAAGAAATGTCCACTCCGTCTTTAGTTTTCCTTGCATTTCCCATTTTTAGAACTTCGGTGCCGTTTATGTTGCTGAGGTTGACTTAAGTTTTGTTGGAGCACTAAATAAGTTCTCCTATCCTTTTTGATGTCTTTTTCTCAAAGTCTGACTCCTTCTGGTACGATTTAAGGCAAATTTGATATAGAATATAATCAAAACAGTTGCATTTTGTCTCTTAATACTGTGCTATACATTTTTTAACTTTTTAAACCATCTTTTGTAAGGTATGAAATAAGAACAACTTGAGAATTTTTTTCCTAAACTTAATGCTGAAGAAAAATATTTCATGACTATTAATGCAAACTGGTTCAGATTTAAGTCAGTCGATTGTCAAAGTAGTTTCCGAGGTGAGAATTATTTTTATTCTTTGGTTCCTTTGGACAGTGACCCTCCTGGCCTTCTGTTCTTCTCTTAAATCATTGTCTGAACCACTTTGGCATAAATTTAGAAGAGAAATTCAAAACATTAACATCAAAAAGTTCAATTTTTTGTGAAAGTACTGTTTCTTCTAGGAATTCATCCTGTAACTTATTGGATGCTGATATGAGAACCAATGTGGCTGGAAAAGCTTTGTTTCTCATCCGAGCCACTCGCAAACAAAGTTTCATGCAGACATGGTCATCATGCGTCACTTTGAATGTCATTTTGCTTAGGATAGATATTGCGTCTGATTTATTTTCAAATTTGATTCCAGTTTTCTTGCAGACCTATTATTGGCAACGCATCCCCAAATATATATCTAGATCCAAGCCTCAGTCCTTCTGGCAAGGCTAAAATTTATTGTTATTTCCATGGAAACATACTAATAAAGCCACTTTTTAAATCTATTTATTTTGAGTGAGGAAAGAAATATTTATGTGCTCATTTTTCAGAGTTCCTCTGCTGGAGAACCTGCCAATGATTCTGGTGAGGAAATGGAAGAAGCTTTTCAAAATAATGACTATTTACAAGTAAGTGTAAACATCAGGTTTAATGGAGAAAAGCTTCACAAATTCTACCTAAATTCATGAGTTACAATAATGGTTTTGGCTTGTTGACAGTTGCCTCCAATTCACGATTAATTTCTGTTACAGGCTATTGATTTGTCTGAGTCTTCAGACGAAAGTGACAGTGACAGTGAAATGGAAGACCGTAACCATTCTGATTCGGACAATGAAAGTGAACAATCCGATGCAAGCAACCATGAAAATATTCCTCCTGTTGAAAACCATAATCAACACCATCAAGATGCTATTGCACCAAATGAAGATGAAAATAATGAGGTGAATATTTTAAAGATGGCACCATTTTTCCCACGATTACTTGATGCACATAACATATTCTTTTTAAAACTAACATCCATCTGCTGTGGTTGCAGGTTGTTCGAGGCCCACCACTTTTCCAAGGTTGCCCATTGGATCGTGCTGAAAGTGACATTCTACTTATGTCTTTTGTGTTGAGATGGGGCTTGGAAGAAAAGGGTGTTGCTGATCTGCTTAGTCTCATAGATAGTTACCTCCCATGTTCTGTGATGGGATCTTCGTATCTATTTTTTAAGAGATTCCCCATTCATGATCTAAGTAATGTACGGTACACTTGCTCTGAGTGCTTTGCCTTTTTGCCCAGGGAGTTTGAACCTGATGTGTCGTGTGAAAATTGTGGAAGTCAAATGGTGAAGAAAACTCTGAAAAAAAAAAAAGAGTTACTTTGTTGAGCTTTCAATCACTGAACAAGTAAAACGGATTATGGAGGATGAAGCTTTGTTTCCCCTTTTAAGGCGACAGGGAGGGGTAAATGATGTAGTGGCAGATATTATCAAAAGCTGATAGCAAACAATGTGCTTGGTCCAAATGATATAACTTTACAATGGAATACAGATGGGTTGAGTCCTTATGAAGGATCAAAAGTGCAGGTGTATCCAATCCAAGCTCGCATTAATGAATTGCCCTATCGAGTCCGCAGGGATCATATGATACTGTGTGGATTGTGGTTTGGAGAAGGAAAACCACATTTTAATGCTTTTTGGAAGCCTTTTGTAGATGAACTAGAGTCCCTTCATTTTAACGGGTTTCTGTGCAGGCCCCCTGGTAGAGAGGAAATTATAACCGTTAAAGTGCATACCATTGTTGCATCAGTTGACTCTGTTGCAAGAGCTCCATTACAAGATTTAAAGCAGTTCAATGGGTCCTATGGCTGTTCGTTTTGTTTGAGAAGGGGAATGACTATTGACATAGGGTAAGGAAGGGCTCGAGTCTATGCTGGTGGCAGAGCTGAGTCTCGTTCAATAACTCAGCATCTCAATGCGTTGCAACAGTTAGAGGAATACAATAGAATCCACAGGAAAAAGAAAAAGCATGTGCAAGGTGTTCAAAAAAGTTCAATTTTGCTTACTCTTTCCATTTTTAATGTCACCTCTAGTTTTGTTCCAGATTATTTACATTGTGTACTTGAGGGAGTTGCACAGTGGGTCAAAACGGTCAAAAGTGCGAAAAAAATATTTTATTATGGAAATCGACTCAGTTCGGCCCCAAAAGACTACCAACCAAGTATTTTGGCGTTGAGGCCAAAATTAGCGATGTAGGGGATAAAAATCGAAAGTTACTATCCCCGCACGCTCCAAGCGAGGTCAGATTCAGATTCCTCGCTATAAATTGGGCCAGAATCACTAAGAAAAAACTTTACTTTTTCAAAAACAAGAAACTGAGGGGTCAAAATTGAAAGTTTCTATCCCCTCATTCTTAAGGCGAGGTCAAAATCGGTTTCCTGGTAAAAAGTGATTCAGAATCACTTGGAAAAAACTTTACTTTTTTCATGCAAAATATTCAGTGGTCAAAATCGAAAGTTACTTTCCCCGCATGCTTTAGGCGAGGTCAGATTCAGATTCCTCGTTAAAAAGTGATTCGAAATCACTTGGAAAAAACTATACTTTTTTTGGTGCAAAATATTCATTGGTCAAAATTGGTCAAAATCGAAAATTACTATCCCAACATGCTTTAGGCGAGGTCAGATTCGGATTCCTCGTTAAAAAATAATTCGGAATCACTTGGAAAAAACTTTACTTTTTTTCATGCAAAATATTCAGGGGCCAAATCGTAAGTTACTATCCCCGCATGCTTTCGGCGAGGTCAGATTCGGATTCCTCGTTGAAAAGTTACCAGGAATCGATTGGCAAAACCTTTACCTTTTTTAATGTGAAAGAATGAGATTCGGATTCCTCATCAAAAGATGATTGGGGGTCAGTAGGAGTAAACTTTACATCTTCTGATTTCAAAAACTAAGGGGTCAACATCAAAAGATAAACTTTGAATCGTCTGACGACCCAGATTTTTCGGACGAAGAATTCAAGTGACCCTGATGCTAATTTTGCAGCAATCTTCCTCCATGCTAAAATTGCAATTGTTCTGTTATTCTATTCTTATTTTATCTTGTTATCCACAGAGTTTATAATGTTTAAGCAGCGTTTTTGAAAAAGCGAGTTAGCCTGGTAGAAATAAAAACCTTCTCATGACAAATCTTTTAAAAGTTCATTTCAATTAAAACAAAATCACAATTTTCTAAACAAGATCCATTACAATTTTTTTCTAAAAACTGACGAAAAATCCGAATCTTATCTTGCTTGGAGCATGTGGGATAACTTGCGATTTTATCTCCCTATACTTTCCATTAAAAAAGTAAAGTTTTTTCCAAGTGATTCTGAATTATTTATCCCGAAGCATGCGGGGATAGTAATTTTCGATTTCGACCAATTTTGACCAGTGAATATTTTGCACCAAAAAAAAAGTATTTTCCAAGTGATTCCAAATCACTTTTTGGCCCGCCCTTCTATTCAAAAAATAGGGGGGGGCCTATGCATTTGCCTTTGTGTCTGTGTGTTGTTGTTGTCGTTGTTGTCGTTGTTGGCGTCTGTGTACAAGGAAGGAGTTGAGCTAGAGTAACCAGATTTGGAGGGTACTTCAGGAGTACCGTCCAAACAAATAATCCGGTGGTGCAAATCCCGTCCGGGTCGCACAAGGGCTGCTGCAGGTGCATCATGGTTTACATGAGCGGGAGGGGGATTTCCGCCATTATTGGTGCTAGCAGGGCACATAGGGGTATTTTTGGAATCGGGGCGACGAGACAAGATGAATGGACCTGGTCCCGACCCCATCGGCCGCTTTTACAAGTTGGCCAGATCAGGATCTTCAAAAAAGGAAGTCGACCGACTGAAAAAAATTATTGCAGATTTCGATTGGTCTTAGCAAGACCTTTTCAACGATGGGTCGGTTAGGGGGTCCAGGAGCCCGACTTCGTCTATTTGTCACATCAGGATCTTGAAAAAGGGGGTCGACCGACTGAAAATTTTTACTTAAGTTTTCGATACGTCTTGGCAAGACCTCTTCAATGAGGGGTCGGAAGGGGGGTCCAGGAGCCCGCCTTCATGAGTTATGGGAAAAAGTGCGACGGACTCGTTTTGCGCTCCTGCTGTGCCTCTATTGCAAGGAGTTGCAGTAGCATGGCAAATATGGGTATTTTCGGAATGAGGGCTAAGAGACAAATGAAATGAGCATATTTGGCTGAGCCACTTTAACTTGTTTCAGATTTCGATCGTTAACGTTGTTTTAATCTTAATGTTGGGTTTCAGTTGTTAACTGCGAAGCCTCCATTTTACGATACCCCCTTGACCGCAGCCCGTGCCAGAGGCTCTGAACCTCACAGGATGGTGGGGGCAACTTGCAAACGCTAAAATTGTTTACAACTTACGTTCCACGCAAGAGTTAGCACAATAAACAGGATGTTTTGAAAGAAAAAGGGAATAAATATATTTTATATCATCTCCAAGATACGTAAAAGCTGCTTTGAAAGGCGTAGAAATGGTTCGGAGATCATACGAAATGTTGGTCAACATGGTTTCACAAAGTATTAATGTCGGGTACATTTGGAAGGAAAGGACGACCAACGTCGGGTGGACTACGCAAAAAGTTGAACCGCAGCAGACGGCGTCGTCGTGAACGTGAAACGAAACGACAACTAAATCCCAAAGAAAATAACCTAAGTGTCCAGCGAAATGTCAGACAGAAGAATTAATCCCAAACAAAATGTCCTAAGTGTCCAGTGAAATGTCAGACAGAAGGTGTTGCGTTGTGTCGTGCCGGTTTTCGACCCAACCTAAAGTTGAAGGCGTTCGCTTGTTTGGGTAAAGTCTATTCAATTATTCGATATTTACAAGTGTCCTTATCCTGATTTCGAGGGGTTATGTTGCTCTTTAATTAATGCCTGGCCTGCCACAATTTCTTCACAGTGCCTAATTGAAAAAGAAAAACTGATGCAGGGTGCTGAGGAACACCACCATCAAGTTCAAGAAAATCACAGACAAGAGCAACAAGTGGAATGAATCAGTGTGCAACCCGTTCAAAACTTTCTACTTGACCAGAGCCGGGCGGCAACTGGAGCTGAGGTCAACCACAGAATATTACCTTCCACCTCAAATAATGACAATGTATGTTGTTATAATTAACTCTAAATCCAATGTTTATCTTTTTTGTGATCTCGTAAAACTTTCCTTTTTTTAAAATCGTAAACTGAACCCCTTTGGGTATGTGCTGCTGTTGACAATATGGTGGCTGCTATTGAATGGCGGGTCAATGCGTGGGGGATGTTACGTTGGGAAGCCAAAGAACTGAATCTCAAAATTGTCTATGGGATCTGAACTGTGATTTCAAACTTCAATTCAAGCTACTGCTCATGACGGAGAAATAGAATTGTTTGCATTGAAAACTTAAAGGGAATGTATTCGCATTTCACCATAGATAATGTTTGATTCTTGATCTGACGCAGGGTGCAGAGCAAGTCTACCGGCAAGCTCAAGAAAATCAAGGACAAGGGCAAGCAGTCATATTGACGCATTTCTTCAAAGAATAATTACTATTGTTTGTATAGTTCTGTATTGTAAATTATCTATTTACACTTTCATACATCCTAATTGTAAGACAATTAAAATTGTCCTGATTCATGTTGCAACTCCATTATACCTATACTGATTAAAAACCTACTTTATTTGCAGTTTTTGTTATTTAAAAAAAAGCCCTGAAAAATATGTTACATTTATTCTTCTTATATTTCTCTAGAAGAAACCATATCAAACCTTCACTTGTTTTCCCCACCTACACCCCACCTCACCCTCAGAAATGATATGAAATCTTGGGCTCAGCCTTGAGCGTTAGCTCTGCCTAGTCTAAGGACAGTTGGAGTAAAGAGTGTAAGGACTTTTGCATATTGTGAATAGAAGGGCGGGCCCAAGTCACGATGGTACATCGATATCTTTGCTTTAACCGCTCACGGGGTGTGTAATGCGAGCGGGCCGAAGGCCCGGGCCTTCGACTGGCAGAGTTGGGTCTGATGCGAGGGCCGAAGGCCCGAGGAAAGGCCGCCGGCAGGCCAAGCTGGGCCGGCCCCCTGTCGAACCGAGTTGCCGGCGCAGCGAAGCGGAGCTGGCAACTCGGTTCGACGGAAGGGCGGGCCCTAGCTTGTTAACGAGGAATCCAAATCTGACCTCGCCGAAAGCATGCGGGGATAGTAACTTTTGATTTGGCTCCTGAATATTTTGCATGAAAAAAAGTAAAGTTTTTTCCAAGTGATTCCGAATTATTTTTTAACGAGGAATCCGAATCTGACCTCGCCTAAAGCATGCGGGGATAGTAATTTTCGATTTTGACCAATTTTGACCAATAAATATTTTGCACCAAAAAAAGTAAAGTTTTTTCCAAGTGATTCCGAATCACTTTTTAACGAGGAATCTGAATCTGACCTCGCCTAAAGCATGCGGCGAAAGTAACTTTCGATTTTGACCCCTGAATATTTTGCATGAAAAAAAGGAAACTTTTTTCCAAGTGATTCTGAATCACTTTTTGACCAGAAAACCGATTTTGACCTCGCCTAAAGCATGTGGGGATAGTAACTTTCGATTTTGACCCCCCAGTTTTTTGTTTTTGAAAAAGTAAAAATTTTTCCTTGTGATTTTAGATCAATTTTTAGCGAGAAATCCGAATCTGACCTCCCTTGGAGCCTGCGGGGATAGTAACTTTTGATTTTTACCCCCTACATCGCCAATTTTGGCCCGAACCCCAAAATACTTGGTTGGTAGTCTTTTAGGGCCGAACTGAGTCGATTTCAATAATTAAATATTTTTTTCGCACTTTTGACCGTTTTGACCCACTGTGAGTTGTCAAGCAGTTCAAAATTCACTGGGCAGATAGTGAATACAAAAACGGTGACTGGTATCTCACTTAAGAGAAACGTAGACTCTTATCTGCAAGATGGAAAGCCATAAAACCCCCTTTTGAAATAACAGGGGTGACCAAAGGTTTAGAGGGCTTCAAGGATATGAAAGCATCAGAATTTCGTAACTTTTTAATTTACTACTCCCTTGTTTGCCTTAAGGGACTTCTCCCAGCCAGATATTTGAAGCATTGGTTTCTGTTGGTGTACAGTATGACCATCTATTTAAAAGATAGTTTTTCCCCAGAAGAGTCCCTTAAAGCAAAGCATGCAATAAATAAGTTTGTTGAGGAAATTGATAACATTTATCCAAACTGTATGCACTTGTACACCTTCAATGTTCATATTCTTCTTCACGTACCTCGTGCGACCGATTCTTTTGGAGGGCTGTGGGCAAGCTCAACGTTTTCATATGAGCATTTCAATGGTCTTCTGGCCCAATTAGTTTCTGGCCCAAGAACAACACCCGAGCAGGTCTGTCGCTCCTATGAAAGGCTACGGTGTGTTTCACATGTTGGTTCTAGGGTATTTTCTAAACCCGACTGCTGTGAAAAGGGAAAAAAGCTTTTTGTCTCTCTTATGAACAAATATCGGTCGAATATTTGTTCTGAAGAGGAAGATGATGAGGTGCTTGAAAATAATGTTAGGACCCATCTCCGTCTCTTAGGCAAATCTGAATTAAATGAGTTATCTTTAGCCGAAAAGGTATCTGCTTAGCAACTTGTGGCACAAGGGGAAAATAATCCCACAGCACAGTCCTTCAGGAGAATGGTGCGAGAGGGCACAGTGTACCATGCGAGTTCATATCAAACCCTCATAGTTCGAAATAACAGCATTGCGCAGTTAAATAATGGAAGGTTTATGTCAATCAGTCGTTTTGTTTTGGTAGAAGTAGTGGCATCTGGTGAAAAGAAATGCATTGTCCTTGGTGAAGAGTTTGACGTTTTAAACGAAATTCTGTGTCAAGACCGTGAGCTAAATATCTCATCAAACTCCTTCCTTCATGTTTGTCGCAGAACAAACAGAATATCATGTGTCTTCCCAAGCAGTGTGTCCAGGAAATGTGTCCTTGTGCCCTATGAACATGGCGAATGTATTGTACCTCTGGTCAATTTGGTTGAGAGAGACTAGGCTTGTTTTCATCGCCTTAACTGGAACTGAGGCTCGACTCGCGGTCGGGGTGTTTGTTTTTTTATCTCATTTTTCTTCGCTTTTTGGACTTGGGGCACCACAGGCGAGGTCCGCCAGGTGGATTGATGATAGAATGCGGCCGCTGTAGAGGACAACGACAAGACTTCCGTGCGGCGCGCAGCGGCTGCTTGCTGGCCTGGCGGCGGCGGCGTTGGGGTGGGGGCAGTCGGCGCAGTGGCAAGGGTATACCCGGCGGCACAGCCCTTAGCAAGGCGGCGTGGCGGAGTGGGTTCAGCGCTCGGCAGCGGAGCGGGAGGTTGCGGGTTCGACTCGCGGTAATGGATATGACTTTTTTCCCTGATTTTCTTCCATTTTTGGTCTTGGGCCAACACGGGTGGGTCTCAGACGGACTGATGACGGGCTGCGGCGGCGGCGGGGCTTTCGGAGGAGGAGACTTTGGTATATACTTATACATCGCGGCGGCTGCTGCCGGTCGGGCGATGGGTGGCGGCGGGGTGGGGGGCAGCCGGCGGAGGGGGATGGCTGCGCGGCACCACAATTGCCAGCGAGGCGGCGTAGCAGAATGGGTTCCGCGCTCGGCAGCGGTGCGGAGGGTCACGGGTTCGACTCGCGCTTGGGGTCTTAACATTTATCTAGTCATGGTTATGCAGATAGCTTTAATATTAATTGTACATAAAATGATTAGTGAACTTTTGTTTTGTTTTAGCCTAAGTTTTATTTTGTATTTGTTTCCTTTGCCATAATTTAAAAGCTTTAAATGTTGCTTCTGTAATTGAAACCGTACTTATGTGTATATTTTAATGTGGACTTTAAAGTGCTAAATGCTTTAAATTTTAAAAAACTTCATGTGATTTATATTTTAAAATTTATTGCAAGGCAGGCGGTCAGCAATTTTAAGTAAGTAAGGAAATGCTTTGGAAAAAAATTCATTGGTTATTTGCAACCATGACTAGTCAACAACATCAAAATGCAAATGTCTCGTAAGATTTTGTAATATAATTTGGCCAAGCATTGTATGAAATGAATAAAAACACCTGTAATCATACAAGCTTCTATCATTTTCTGTACCCGCCGATCAACGAAAGCCGTGCCGCATCAATCCCACATTGCCTGGCAAACTGGAAAGGTTGAGAGTTGGTGACGATTAGCTCAGCAACTTCTGCAGGAAGCAACAGTTAGCAATGCACTGTGGGGCCTAAACTGTACAAAGCTTAGGGTATGTGGTCAACTGTAAGATCAATACTTTACGCTTTTAAAGTTCCCACCATACTCTAAGCACACATTTGTAGAGGCCTACAGTTTTAGCCCAACCTTAGGGATAACACTGTATAATCCTAAAGTTGAAAGAAGACTTTAGAAAAAAAACTGTACGATCCTTAAGTTATGAGGAGACTGTAGGAAAAAGACTGTAAAAATCTAAAGTTACTGTACAAAGTCTAAAGTTACTTTACAAATCCTACGGTAGATTTTCCTAAGGGGTTCGGCTATCTACGCCTTTCCCCAGGCTTCGGCTGGCCCTCCCTGCCGCCACCCAGGCCCTCCTGCCCCCTCCCCCCGCCACAAAGGACGGAGATACCAACAGCACTAGGGTGTCCGATGCGCCACCGGACTAAGCTGCCAGGGAGCAGGTTTATTTAAGAAAAGCAGGACCTTACAACGACCCCCTTGGATTTCGCTGATTTTTTGGTGGTTAGTACCCCCCATGGTAGGATTTCTTGGTCAAAATTTCAGACCTAAAAAAATTTTCTTCTGGGAGATATGGGGTTTTTAAGTTTTTTGGGTTTTTTTACACAAATTTTTGGGTATTTCTTATATCTCAGGGACTTTTTGTCCGAATGGTTTCAGATTCGGGTTCTAGCTTCAAAATTGAACGGGGAACCGATCGTGCCGTCAGATTTGACCAAAAATAATTTTTTCATGGGAAAACCCCCTTTTTCTCGAAAAATTACAAAAAAAGCCCCAAATCTTGGGTTTTTGCAGTTAAAAGTACCCGATCTTTTTGAAACTGGTCTTATTTTACGCAGAAAGGTCCGCTTAATCTAAAAATCACAACCCCAGATTTTCCGACGAACCGTTCCGGAGATATTCCACTTAAAACAGGCAATTTTTTTTGGCCTAAAAGTTGTGCGATTTTGCTGGGCTTTTCATTCTGAGGCATTGGGCGGTGAGTTCCAGTGACGCTGGCCTTGTGGCCGGCTGGTTTCCCTAACGTCCCTTTTTAGCGCCTGCCAGGTGGCGAAGCCGTACCGCAACACATGCCGACTGGTGGTCTATCTCGCCCCCGACGCCAGCCGCTCCCGCCGAAAGCAAAGGCACTCCGCGCTCCGTGCGTTCGCTGGCTCAGCCGCTTCGCCCTCCTAGAGTCCCACTCTAGGTCACTACGCCCTCGCTGTTTCCACTCCCCTCGGGTCCTTCGGCACCAATGACCCCGGTTTTACGGCCCCGAAGGCAGGAACTGAAAATTAGTCAAATTAAACACAGATTTCTCCTCAAATTAATCCCAAAACACATCTGAGTCCTCCATGCTGCGGATGACAACCACAGTCGTACAAGAACCGAGTGGTTAAGGGGAGGTTCTACTAAAAATTTTACTTTCTTCAAATTGAGTCCCACTTTTTATTTCATTGTAAATT